CATCCTACTTGAAACAGCCATCTGACGTCACCACCACGCCATCAACCCAACGAGTGCAGCAGCTGTCGGCTTCACCGTTATTGGGGTCGTGCTTCCGGCATACATTATAGAAATCCGGTCCGCTGATCGATTTTCCGTTCAGGCGAGAACACTACACCAGCTGTTAGGGGGACTATGCTCGAGAAGGCCCGTTCTAACTCACATCGCCGCCGGGCTCTAGGGAGTAAAGTTAGTAACTTGAGCCTACATCAAGGAGGTTGACACGGGTAACGAACTGATGGTATAGCCTGGTCCCATATCGCCACAAGCAAAATTGGTTGCGCACCAGTTAGCCGTCTGGGTATCAGGATACCGCATGCAATGGCATGAATCCCAATTCTCGGCATGAGCCAGCCCGAGAAGGCCAATGCTTACAGATGCGCCAGCCATATCGTGAATTGCCTGCGTCTATAGCCCGAGAACTCACAGTGCAATCTGTGTTAGGGAGAACCTCATGATGGACTCGTCGGTATAATCAGTGTCAAATCGGGAAATATAAGTTATTGTTACGAGTAACGAGATAGTAGAGCAATGTATCTGGCAGATGTGGTTCTATTTAACTCCTGTATTCTACACGGGAAAGCATAACGCTTTTCAAGTGCCGCGAACTCATCATGCAGCTTACGTCACGAATGGAAGTTTCTTAGTCTCGTATCCGACCTGCTCCTCATCATATGATTTAAATCCCTCAGTCATGAAACTTTACTGAGTCATAGGATGAACGTTATATCCCAGTAGCCATAACGCTGAAGGAAAGGAAGAGTTATGCCTGCATTCGGTCGGACTGAAAACTCAGTTCACTCTAAAGTTCAGCTACTCCAACATATTGTAACCCTTATACCTACACTTATGCATTACTAAGAACTGTCTTCTCTTAAACGTATGATTTAAACCTTCTTTCACTACATTAACCTTTCATCTTTTATGTCTTTCAAAGTCAATTTTACGGCAAATGCGGCCAGCGCTTGCGATTTTGCTGACATTCGGTGACTCTGCCCCCGCCCACCTCCCCCTTGTGACTGAATACCCCTCTACTACTAGATTGAGAACTTCTTCTATAAAACGACTGTTTTCTTTCAAGAATTAGGATACTCGATTCTCTCAACCTCTAACAGCACTTATATCTTACAAGCTCGTCTCACTTCCAAGCCCGGCCTTTCACCATGTTGCTGAAGTCCCTTCTCCTGCCTTTGGCGTTGCTCCAGGCTACGAGTGCGCTTTCCATCAAGAGGTAGATGCCCGAGTTGATTGCACTTGTCCTGAACGTCGTTGCCCAAAATGAATGAGTAAACAATGCTGACCTAACAGTCCTCAGGTAGACGCGTCCGATAAGCATCAGCTACAGGCGAGGGCGTGGGTTGCTCAGTCCTTCCCCACAGAAACCGTATCTAACCGTCTCAGTGAAACAATTGAGGTTCCCTTCAGCTGTTTGGGTTCTCAAAGCCCTGGCATCTGCTTCACTGTGGCAGCTGTTGGTGTGACTTTGTACAAAGTCGGGAATTTTCTTCACTACCATGCCGTCCATACGACCAACTCGCAGGCCAGAGGCGTCGTGGACTTCATCTTTGCGAATGGGAAAGTGCCTATCGAGTATGGCCCAGGCATTAACGGTAGGCCTGGGAAGATGTTCGTTGATTCACGTATGGGCCCAGGAGTGAAGCTTCAGGGGTAAGTCGCCGCTTTGGAGCGAGCTTCAAAGCGGCTTGTAGGGTCTTAGGTCTTGTATTGTCAATTCATAGGAAGATCACCCACCTAACCTTGCCCATTCCTATCCTGGTGTGAAGTAACTACGACCCTTCCGGGTCGTTGCCTGTTCTCTATGATTGAACGTGATGAACGACTATTCTGACTAGAATCTTGATACTGTACTGTATTAATTGTATCCCTGCTGTACAAACACCCTCCCGTATCAC